GTGTGTGCGTGTGTGTATGTATGTGTGTGTGTGTGTGTATGTTTGTGTTTCTGTGTGTGCGTGTGTGTACGTGCTATACGCGGATATACGCGCAGGTACTCACGGCAGGTACTTGGTTGGAATCTCGCCGTAAAGCAGTGGTAGTGGTAGTAGCTAGTTATAACTCGCAGTGCTCCCCTATCTCTCTGTGATTCCCCTCTCTCTCTCTCTCTCCCTCTCTCTCTCCCTCTCTCTCTCTCTCTCTCTCTCTCTCTCTCTCTCTCTCTCTCCGCTCTCGCTCTCGCTCTCTATATCTCTCTCTCTCGCTCTATCTATCTATCTATCTATCTATCTATCTAGCTAGCTAGCTATCTACTCTATCTATCTATCTACCTTATCTATCTATCTACTCTATCTATCTAATCTATCTATCTATCTATCTATCTATCTAGTCTATCTATCTACTATCTATTTACTATCTATCTATCTATCTATCTTATCTATCTATACTCTATAATCTATCAATCCGAGATAGGGGAGCACTGCGAGTTATAACTAGCTACTACCACTACCACTGCTTTACGGCGAGATTACAACCAAGTACCTGCCGTGAGTACCTGCGCGTATATCCGCGTATAGCACGTACACACACGCACACATACACGCACACACAGAAACACAAACATACACATACATACACACACGCACACACCGCACGAGCCACAGTTCAAACAAACGTCGAAGAACAGATGATGAATATGGTAACTATTTCGATAAGTTTTATCTCGTTTCTTCAGCAAATATCACTACTCGGGTCTATCTTAGACTTCGCTCTCCAATCCTCCATATCGCGTTTTATTGAGTGCTACTATGTAAGTGTTAGAATGTGGTCAACCACGACTGTATGCAGTATGTACGTAGAATGGTGGAAATCCGGGGTGGGGGGGTACTGCCAGATTTATGCAATATGTGAGAAAACGGAAGGAAGAGTGAGAACCAAACGCTAGTGGTAACTGGATAAGAATGCACGTGCCCACGCATACATACACGCACACACACACACACACACACACACACACACACACACACACACACACACACACACACACACACACACACACGACACGGCAAACACACACACACACATGCACGCACATACACACCCACGGACGGGTCACAATACACACGTGTGCAGCACGCACGTCGCAGCGCCTCGAGGCTCACGTACATACACACGTTGTGCACGCACGCACGCAACCAATTGAGTCACACGCCTGCTGCACGCACTGCACGCATGGCACGCACATATCTGCTCCTCTCTTTTTCTTTCCAACATCCTGTTGTGTAACGAATGAAATCAGGCCAGCCGCAGTAGTAACAGCAATCACCGCAGCACACACAGTAGCAGCAGCAAACATGCAGCCCAGCAGCAGCAGCAGCAGAGCAGTAGCGAGCAGTTAGACAGAGCAGTAGCAGTAAGCAGTAGAAGTAAGCAGTAGCAGATAAGCGCAGTAGCCCAGTAGCATAGCAGTACAGTAGCAGTAGCAAGTAGCCAGCTACGCGTAGCCCGTAGCCAGTAGCCAGTAGGCAGTAGTCAGTAGTATAGTAGTAGTAGTAGTAGTAGTAGTAGCAATAGTATGGCAGCAGCAGATGCAGCAACAACATGCCAGGCATCAGACAAGCAGCAGCCAGCAATACACAACAAGAACAACAGCAGAGCAGTAAGCAGCGCAAGCAGTAGGCAGTAGTAGTAGCAGCTAGCAACAGCAAGCAGCAAGCAGGCAGCCAGCAGCTGAGTAGCAGTAGCGAGCAGCAGGCAACAACAAACAAACAACAGGCACAGCAGGACAGCAGCACGCACAAAGAAAAAACAACAACAACAACAAAAACAACAACAGCATTAGCAGTAGTAGTAGTAGTAGTAGCGAGCAGCAGCAGTGTAGTAGGCAGCGCAGCAGCAGGCAGCAGCAAGCAGCAGCAGCAGCGCAGCAGCGTAGCAGTTTAGCAGTAGCAGTAGGCAAGTAGCAGCTAGCAGTAGCAGTAGCAGTAGCAGTAGCAGTAGCAGATAGCAGTAGCTAGTAGCAGTAGCATGTAGCAGTAGCAGTAGCCAGTAGCAGTAGCCTACAGTAGGCGTAGCGTAGCAGTAGGCAGTAGCAGTAGGCAGTAGCAGTACAGTAGCACAGCAGTAGCAGTTAGCGCAGTAGGCAGTCAGTAGCAATAGCAGTAGCAGTAGCAGAAGCCAGTAGGCAGTAGCAGTTAGCGCAGTAGCAGTAGCCAGTCATAGCAGTAGCCGTAGCCAGTAGCCAGTGGCAGTAGCGCAGTAGCAGTAGCAGTAGCAGTAGCCAGTAGCACAGCAGCAGAGCAGCGCAGGCAGCAGCAAGTTAGTAGTCATCAGCGAGCAGCAGCAGCAGCAGCACGCAGCTGGATAGAGTGTCTACCCTGCGTCCATGGACTGACTGAATGACTGACGTTGCGAGTATACGTGGTAACCGTAACGGATGCTGACGTCATGCTCGCGGCGCTCCATCGCTCCTCGGCTTCCGACGTCCACGCCGATGATAGTGGCGTGATTCGCGTGCGACACACCACGCGCACTGCAGGAGAGAGAGAAAGAAGCACTGCGAAAGCCAGTCAGCCAGCGGAGCACACACATAACAGTGAGAGAGAAACGTGACGATAGATATTGTGAGCTCGAGTAAGAGAACTCGAAAGGCAGAAGAAATGATAGATAGATAGAATAGATAATAGTAGATATATACTATATATATATATATTATATAATAGTAGTATTATATATATATAGGGTAGAATAGATAGATAGATAATAGCTGGAGGATAGATAGAGAAAGAGACTATACTATATATATATATATATATATACTATATATATAGAGAGAGAGAAGAGAGATGAGAGAGAGGCGAGGGAGAGAGAGGGAATGCACAGAGAGATTAGGTGGGCGCACGTGCGAGTTATAACTAGCTACTACGCACTACACTGGCTTCTACGGCGAGATTCCAACCAAGGTACTGCCGTGAAGTACTGCGCGTATCTCCGCGTATCACACGACCTGGAGCACGTACACACACGCACACACACACAGAACACACACACAGCGCACACCACACACCCACACACACACACACAGCACACACACACACACACACATACAACTACACACACACATCACACACACACACACAAGCACACACATAGCATACACATGCCCGCGCGCACACACACACGCACACGCACAACCACACACACACACACACACACACACACCACACACAGCACACACAATTCTCGGCAGGCATCTAACCGCGTGTCTACGTGTGTGCTTGCTTCAGGACTAAAAGATGACGGGACATCGGCGGGCGATGGGACCTACCCTCAGCATCCTCGTTGCTATTATCGGAGCCACGCTTTGCGGCGCGCCAACACGTGAGTACACAGACATATCGGTAATCTCTATCCACTAAATTCAAATAAGGCCTACTACTCTGCCTAATAATGTACGCTGGGCACGCTGTTTATATCGTACGCACAGTCGACACCGCTATACATTACTCCAGCGAAAGTGTCCTTTCTAAACAGGTGTCCGTATTGAACAGGTCTGGTTTTCTAGGGTTTGTGCATTGAGAGCATGATAACCCCACATATCCTTAGTCCTTAAAATTTAATGTTCTTGGTTGGATGTATTTGTAGCATAATCCTCCCACACGTGTATTATAAACCAATCATCTGTCGCTGCTACAGGCTCTGTTGTTCATGTGTGTTTTGTGCACCAGTGCGGGCGTGCGGCTACTTGTGTGTGCAGATGACATTTGACCCGGCTTTACAGGTGATTATAGCGAAGATAGAGTAGAGAAAACGATTAAGACTTTGGTAGTAAATACATTTGGCGTCGTATTATTACCTTTTTTTTACAATTTTATCGAGACGTTCCAACTTTCAAGTGCCTGTGGTGCTGTGCTGTGGTGGCACTAGCAGAGTGACATACGATCAGGAGTGAATAATATTTTTTTATTATAATTTTTTTAATTTTAATAGATTATATAATAATCAATTATTATTCAATTCTGATACGATCAAAATAACTGTGCAACCCCCCTACCCCCCCCCATACCGATGCAACTGTCACGATCGATATCTGTACAGAGTGCTTGACCACTCCCTCGTGATGACACTTGTAGTTGCAGAGTGAATGTACACGTGTGGTCACTGCGCCACTCTGTTGTTATACAGAGTGTGTGTGTTTGCTGTCACTCTTACATAACGACATAGACCGTTATACAGAGTTAATGTGTGTTGTTATCTGACATAACGCCATAGATCGTTATACACAGAGTGAATGCGCAGCGTGCGTGTGTGTGTGGTGTGTTGTGTGATGTGTGTGTGCCTGTGTAGCTGTGTGTGTGTGGCTGTGTGTGTGTGTTGTGTGTGTGCTGTGTGTGTGTGGTTTGTGTGTGTGTGCTGTGTGTGTGTGTGTATGGTGTGCTGTGTGTTGTGGTGTGGCGCGTGCGTGCGTGTGTGTTGCTACTCTTAAACAACGACACATATGTCGTTAAACAGAGTAGTGAATGTGTGAGTACTGTGAGATGACGAGATGGGGGTGATTGAAATGTATGACAGCAAGTGCAAGTGAGTTCGAGGTACAGGGACTACTCACACTATTACACTACCCTACACTACTAACTACTACTAACGTATTCCTTACTCACTACACTACCCAGCTACAACACACACACACACACACACACACACACACCACACACCCACACACACACAACGACACACACACACACAACACACACCACACACACACACAACAGAGCTCTTGCTTTTTCCGGCGTCTGCGCGAAAGGTGTAGCAAATTGCAACGACAAATTCTAGCGCTCTTTGATCGCGCGACCACGAGCGTGTACTATCGGCCGCTAATGTAATAGATGATCTGAATAGAGGTGGGCCTCCCCCGCGGGCCGATACCGCTGCTAAATGTTTAGTTGGGCGGTTAGTACGTGGGGAAGAATAGAGAGGAATGAATGCGAGCAGTAGTGTGTCCCTGCGGCCAGCCTCGTGACGATGGGTAACATGCCCGAGCAGCTATGCGAACCGCGCAGGTGTTACACCTTCCGCCGCGCTAGTTTAATTACGAGCTTTCGTATTTCTATTGCAGCACTGCAGAGAGGCCGTCCGTATGGTGCGTATGTGTGTGTGTGTGTGCGTGTGGCGTGTGCGTAGTGCGTGGTGTGTGCGTCGTGCGTGTGCGTGCTCGTGCGTGTCGGCTGCGCGTGTGTGTGTGTGAGGTGGCGTCGTGTGTGTGGTGTGTGTTGTTGTGGTGCGCGCGCGTGTGGTGTGGAGAGAGAGAGAAAGCGCTTGCGCGCGCGTGCGTGTGGATGGTGTGTGTGTGTGTGTGGTGTGCCTGGTTGCTGTGGCGTGCGTGCGGCTCTGCTCGACCCCGTGTTGCGTGCGTGCCGTGCGTGGCGTGTGTTTGACGACTTGTGGTGTCGTGTGTGTTACCGGTGTGTGCGTGTGTGGTGTGTGTCGTGGTGAGTGTGTGTGACGCTTGCCTGTGTGTGTGTGTGCTGCTGTGTGTGTGTGTGCTTGTGTCCCCTGCTCGTCGCCTGTGTGTGTTGTCGGCGCCTCAGGCCGCTCTGGTGTGATGTGTGCCTTGTCCGCTCGTTGCGCGTGCCGTGCGGCGCCGTCGCTGGGCTCGTGACCGTTAATTTGAGAGTGTTCTCTGAATTACCGTTCGTCTTCGCGCACCGCTATGTACATCGAGACACGTAAACAACTTACATACATAGACCTCCTCACCCACCCTGCAAAATGCCACGCCTTACGCGCTTAAGGTTTAAACGCGTCGTTCAACTCCATTCAGTAGTATACACTTTAAATCTGGATCAGACGGTATAAACTATAGCTGCTAGGGCCACCTTGCCAGGGCTATTCGCCAAGGGCGCCTTGGTTGTCATCGGTGCCATATGCATGAGCGTTGAAGTAAAGCGAACAGACTGGAGTAATGAGTGTGGAGAAGCGAGCTATCAATCATGCACGACTGTGTTTTATATTGTCGGAATTAAGTGTGGTTCCACTCTTTCCCCCATGTTTGCTGTTAGTGTAGGTGTAACAGGTCTGGGTCAGCCCTACGGGGTGTGTTTCCACTATTCCACCCATGGGAGCTGCTGCCTGGGGGTAGAGGAGGACTGGGTCAGCCCTACGGGGTGTGGTTCCACTCTTTCCCACATGTTTGCTGTGAGTGTAGGCGTAACAGGAGACCTGGGTCAGCACTACGGGGTGTGGTTCCACTCTTTCCCACATGTTTGCTGTGAGTGTAGGCGTAACAGGAGGCCTGGGTCAGCCCTACGGGGTGTTGGTTCCACTGTTCTCCCTATGGTATAGCTGTGACTGTGGGTGTAACAGGAGACCTGGGTCAGCCCTACGGGTGTTGGTTCCACTGTTCTGCCCATGATAGCTGCTACCGTGCGGTAGAGGAGGTATGGGACAGTCATGTGGGGTGTTGGTTCCACTATTCCCCCCATAGTAGCTGTGAGTGTGGGCGTAACGGGCCTTGGTCAGCACTATGGGCTGAGGTTCTACTGTTCCCACATGGCCGCTATGAGTTTGCGTGTAACAAGAGGTCTTGGTCAGCCCTACGGGTGTGGTTCCACTGCTCTGCCCATGGTAGCTGTGAGTGTGGTTGTAACAGGAGGCCTGGGTCAGCCCTACGGGTGTTGTTTCCACGTGAATGTGGGTGCCAGGTCTTCGGTGATTCTTAACAAGGCAGGTGTATATCCATCATGCAGAGGTGCTGCCACTTTACAACTGTTACAATTTTGGGGAAACACCAAACACATCCTGTATAGACAGGTCACAGGTGTCCTTTCTACAAAGGTGACCGCTAACACAAGTTCGACTAATCCAACTCTATATCGGCCTTACACAGGCAATCGTTCCGGAACTGCAGGCTAATGACGTTCAGTCCTGCATAATCAGCCTAATATGCATAATGAGCTTAATGAGGTATTACTTAATGACTGCTCACATATCCGTAGCAAAAAGTTTCGCAAAATAGAACCGGCGCAAAAATAGCGAAGCATACTTATTACAGTAACTATCGCACATATATATGTATATATACACACATACATACACATGTATATATATATATATATATATATATATATATAT